TGTGTGTGTGTGAATGTGAGTGTGTGAGTGTGTGTAGGTATATGTGTGTGTATACGTGTGTGTGTGAATGATTGAGTGTGTGTGTGTGAGTGTGTGTGTGTGAGTGTGTGTGTGTGTTTGAGAGTGAGTGTGTGCGTGTGTGTATACATGTGTGTATACGTGTGTGTGTGTGTGCGTGTGTGTGTGTGTGTGTGTTTGTTGTGTATGAGAGAGAGAGAGAGAGAGAGAGAGAGAGACAGACAGACAGAACGACATATAGACAGACAGACAGACGGAAAAAGAGAGATGGAGAAAGAACGAGACAAAGGGTGAAAGCCAAAAATGAAAAAACAAATAGGAAACAAATAAGAAGAAAGAAAGAAATAAATAAAGATCAACGGAGAGGGAAAACACATTCTTTCACACACACACACACACACACACACACACACACACACACACACACACACACACACACACAAACAGCGACGCGCCACAAAGACAATAACGCACCCAGACACACACATGCATACACATACCCATCATTTAACATACATTCTCTTTCCTACGCAAACACACACACGCATGCGCGCACACTCGCATGCATTCACACACGCACACTCTCACACACACACACATACACACACACACACGCACTCACACATACTCACACAAACGAACACCCACAAGCAAAATCACACACATGCGCGCGCGCACAAACACACTCACAATCACACGTATACACGTTACCTGCCCGAAACTGTCCAAGATGATTTCAGTGTTTTATGATAATAATATGTCGGTCAACAAAATGCAATTAGCGCGGCCACATCATCTTATCACTTATTATGCAGTATTAACATATGTGAGGCAGCGTGGTGGAATCAGGCTCTCGTCAATTTTTGGGCATATTGAGTTATTGGTAACCTCTTAAAGTTTGTTCATTCGTCTTGCTTTCAATAAAAAGATTACCCATCCATCTTCAATAGAAGTGGGGATATTTTGGATTGAAGGAGGTGGGGGTCACCTGGTTTAAGAGGTAAAACTAGCAAGAAAATGGCTGCCAAAGCTTGGTAAATTCTAAAGCTGGAGAGTCCATGGGAACTGTAAATTTATATTTTTGCGCCTTTAATCATTGTTTTTCTGTGAAATCCTCAAATGAATGTGTTTGTAAATAATATGGACATAAAAGGTGTTGAGCCAAAAAACAAAAATTTGATAAAAATTGCTAAGCATGGAGAAAACTGCTGTTTTCTTTAATTTCATTATTTTGACGAGAGCCTGATTTCACGACACTGCCTCACATATGAGAAGTACATGCCGCATTAACTGTTTTGTTTTGGGTACACTGTTTGTGGACTTTGCTAAATTTTCGCTTTGTTGTTTGTGTGTGCACTTGAGTTTCTTAGTTACGCCAGAATGTTGGAGTTTCTCTGTGCTTGAGTTTTCCTTCATTCATTACTGGTGATCGATTTTCACAGAAGGCTTCTACAAATAATCACGCTGCAGGTGGTTGCTAGTCGCTACGGAGTGGTCTTCTTCATCTACTTCTTTTGGTTATTGCATTCTGTTGTTATCTGGTTGGGTTTTTCCCCCTGTAAAATGACTGCTGGTTTGGCCGTTGACTGCCACTCAACAGATACCGTAGAAATAGACAGATGGGAAGGTAACTTTTTTTTTGCAGGAGCAGCAGCAGCAAGAAAGACGAAAACGTTTAAACAGCAGGATCTTAAATATTTCCATCATTTTGCATTATGTAACCCATTCATGTGTGTAATATGATTTACGCAGGTTTAATCTTGCAGGTCATAGTAAACGGTACGTTTCGTGTACTTTCCAAGGAAGAGTTTCAGCTTTGAAAAGGACACCTCCCTCTCTTTAACCCTGAGAAGATTGGTATTGTAAAAAACACTATGGGAAGGGGGAAACTGTTTCTCTATCTATCTATCTATCTATCTATCTATCTATCTATCTATCTATCTATCTATCTAGATCGTCCTCTCAGTTTGACTTACTCTTCTTTCCACAAACACGTCTTATACACGTAAAACCTTGGGTGTGTTATAGCAGTCATAATATAGTTTATTGTCAAGAAACGTAGTTAAATTACCTTTCCCTTGGGTTTTTTTGTTTTGTTTTTGTTTACTAAATTAGCTTTTCCTTTTTTTTTTAAAATCACCTTTTTAAAAACAAAGGCAAACCGAAGGAAAAGAAGGCCAAGAAGGAGCTCACAATCCCGAAGAAGGAGGAAAAGAAAAAGAAGGGCAAAAAGGGCAAGAAGGGGAAGAAGAAGGAAGAGGAGGAGCCAGCGCCCCCAGCCCCTGCACCAGTAGAAGAGGCGCCACCCCCTCCACCCCCGCCCCCTGCAGCCCCAGAGAAGGAACTGACGCCGAGACCTGTGTCTTCAGAGCACAAGGTAATAATTAATAATAAATATGAGGCAGCGTGGTGAAATCAGGCGCTCGGCTAAATAATGAAAGTAAAGAAACTGACACTTTCCGCTCATTTGGCAGCTTTTTATCTAAGTTTTTGTTTTTTGGCTTAACACCTTCTATGTCAATTTAAGAATCCATTTCTGTATAAATTAAATTGAAAAACGTTGATTAAAGGCATAAAAGAATGTAAATTGTCAGTTTTCACGGACTCTGAGGCTTTGTAAGTGACCTAACTTTAGTAGCCATTTTCTCACTAATTTTACTTCTGAAACCAGGCGCCCCCGGCGCCCACTTCCTTCAATCGCGAATATCTTGATTTCTATTCAAGATAAATTGAATTTTTTTTCATTGAAAGCAAGGCAAATGAACAGCATTTAAGATGATACCAAAGAACTCCATATGTCCAAAGATCGACGAGCACCTGATTTCACTGCATTGGGACACAAATAGCATTTGTGAAGAGCATGTCCACACTTGAAAGGAAGCTCGATGCGCTTTACATTATATTATTACCCCAGCAGACCATAGGACACTCAGGAACATTCTCAGCTTCCCGGGAAGCATGCAGAGCTCAAACACTAACAAACTGACAAGATCTTTCACTGTCTATAGATGGGTACCCATTCCCAACTGGGTGAAGTGGGGAAAATTTGTGTAACGTGCCTTTCCCAAGGACACAACGTTGGGCCCGCGGCTCGAACCCCGGAACCCGCAACTTCACGATTACGAGTCCGGTAGCCTAACCTCTAGATAGTACTTGTAGTTGGGTTGCTGTTGTTTTTTGGTTTGTTTTGTTTTGTTTTGTAAGTGTTTTACGGCGCTTGCAACTGTGTAAGGTCTCATATGAATGCACGAGACACACTGAGTGTTAAATTTTCAGTGGAAATAGTTTTGAATTTTGCCCCGGTCGCGACCGAAGCCCACTCTTATTGATTTTAGGAGTCAATGTGATACTTTTAATCAGATCCCACGGATAGGTAATATTATGCTTGCATGATACTTCTGTGTGGATGGATCCCAGGTGAATGTAATACAGGGGGAATATTATGACATTTTCAGTGTTGTTTTTATCTTATCATGGCATATGAAAAATATCTTTGCGATAAGAGTGATAATATAATCTATGTCATCACTATGTTATGCACAAATCTGCTTTTGAGATGTCAACGATACCTAATTTATTTAAGATCATCGTGTCATTTCCTGATTTTCGTTTTCACAACCATTTTATTTCCTCCCAGCCCTCGTCACCAGACGAAAGAACAGAGGATGAGTCCGACTACGAGATTGTTCGTGAACAGTCCAGTCCGGAACTGGATCACGGGCCTAAGACGAGACTGAATCTTCCTTCCCCTCCACCTGATGAAGAGGAAGATAAGAGTGATGGAGAGAATGTGAGTTTGATGTGTTTGTCTCTGATTAGAAGAGCAGTTGCTTTTAAATGAGAAATCAACGAAATGACAATATCAACCACCTTCAAAGAAAAGAACAGACTGTGATCATCCGCTAGCGAACAGAACATAATATGCAACTCAATTTCCACTAGAACAGAATAAAAACCAGAACTTCTCCCAGATATGACCATTGCGTGACTATTCATAAAAGACTGTGGATTATGAACTGTTCCGCTGCACAGCCGTTAATGACATCAGAACTACACTTCTTCCTCTGAGACCTAACATTGACAACACACTCTACAGAACAGAACATTACAGCAACTGTAGCAAACCTGCACTTATTACTGTATTATGGCATTAGTCTAAAGGGCTAGAGAGCCCAGCTTTGGGAAGATCAATAACAACAACAACAACAGCAATAACAACAACAACAACAACAACAACAACTAAGGAAAAGTCTCACAGGCTTTGAATTACTGACGTTCAACAGGCTCAAGAAGGAGGTAGTCATCTGTAAGTTGAGCCTGATCAGTTTTATTTTGTTGTTTCCGTATACTTCTCTGTGTCGTAGGTTGCTGTGTCGTGTTGTCTCTCCACAAATGGGGATTCTGGGCACATTTTGTGCTGTATTTGTTGTTTTGTGTGTTGCTGTCATGGTTTCTAAATACATTTACATTTGTTTTTTTATTTTTTTTTATTTTCTAGTGATTCGGATTCTTGTAGCGTCAGAAGTGTATTGTTATTAGAAAATATACTTTAAGAATTCTGATTAAATTCCTTTCTCTTCACTTGTTTAAATATTTTTATATGAAGAAAAAAATGAAATGCCTGTTCAAAAAAAGGTACATTCTCATCATTGTTCTCAACTGTGTTAATTTTAAAAGTATGTCAGTGGAAATGATCATAGACCATTACAATTTGATTCATTGCAAAGTATGTCAGTGGAAATGATCATAGACCATTACAATTTGATTAATTGCAAAGTATGTCAGTGGAAATGATCATAGACCATTACAATTTGATTAATTGCAAAGTATGTTAATGGAAATGACCATAGACCATTACAATTTGATTCATTGCAAAGTATGTCAGTGGAAATGATCATAGACCATTACAATTTGATTCATTGCAAAGTATGTCAGTGGAAATGATCATAGACCATTACAATTTAATTCATTGCAAAGAGCATAAAGCCAATTTTTGAGCTTCTATACAAAAGTACAAACAATTCTAGTGGTAATGATGATGACTCATCATCATCATTATCCTCATCTTCATCATCATAATCATCATCATCAAAATCATCATCATCATCATCATCATCATCATCATCATCATTGTCGTTCATCGTTGGTGTCACCACTGATGTGACTGTCATCACCGTCGGTATACATAATTGTTTTTGTTAATATTATTCTTATTTTTATTCTTATTTTCATTCTTGTTTAATATTATTATTTTAGAAATTATTATGATTATGACTAGTATTAATTATTTATCATCATTATTCATATCATCATTATTATTGTATGTATTGTTTTTATTATTATTATTATTATTATTATTATTATTATTATTATTATTATTATTATTATTATTATCATTATTATTGTTGTTATTATTATTATTGTTTTTATTATTATTATTATTATTATTATTGTTCTTATTATTATATTTATTCCAGCATTTATATATATGACTATTACTATTGGTGTTACTATGAGTATTGCTATTATTATTGTTATTACTCCAACTCCTTCTAACTTCTGTTCTTTCCTATTCTTTGTTTAGGAGGACGAGGAAGGGGAAGACATGAACTTGAAGTCAATATCAAACAGAGAGGCCAGAGCTGCTAAACGGGCGGCTGCAGCTGCCAAACGCAGGGAAGAGGTTGAGAGACGGAGGAGGGAAAAAGAGGAGCAAGCGAAGAGGGAAAAAGAGGAGGTGGAAAGACAAGTTGCTCTGCAGAGGGAAATGGAGGAGGAGCGGCGGAGAAGAGAAGAAGAGAGAAGGTAGGGAGAGTTTTCTTATTATAGGCCTTGATTGCAGAATTGCTTGATCATCAAATTTGAAGTTCATGTCTTAAGGGAGTGAGAACTATTTGTGATTATGACTATATATATATATATATATACACACGCGCACGCACAAACATATACACACACACAGACGCACAAGCACACGCACACGCACACCACAATTATGCACACACACACACATATATGCTCACACACACACACACACACACACAAACACACATACACAAGCTCACACACACACACACACACACACACACACACACACACACACACACACTCACACACACACACACACACACACACACACATACACACACACACACATAGGCGCACACACACAATATATATATATATATATTATATATATATGTATATGTAATGTATTACATGTGTTTACTGCTCGGGTCATTCATTTCCCCTTAGTTTGGTGTTTATTTTGTGCCTATAGGTTACACATGAGCAGAGTATAAGAAAGTTTGTGATGCTAAACACTTGGGATGACAAAAATGGCTGCTTACAAAGAAGGAATAGCTATCCATATTCTAAAAGTTAATAAATCACTATGTAATTTGGTTTCAAGGATCTTGCTATGAATGTATGAGAATCACAACATCCTAGCGACTGTGCAGGGCCTGCTTTTATGTAATGACTACCACATTAAGAAGACAGGGAGGTTTAATATCATTATATGAAAATACGAATCGCCAGCCAGCTGTTTAGGTGTGTTAGGTTTCAGTTGCATGTGCTCCAGAACTAGATCTATAATTTTGACAAAATTGGGAAACTAATTTTTTTTTTTTATAAGGGAGGAAACGATACATGAAGTAGGTATAGTTGTGAAAAGAACAATTTTTTTTCTTCTCTTTCGATTGTGCTTTCTGGTCTTAGAACGTTAATTGAACAGCTTACTGACAAAATGTAGTATTGGCATGATCAAAAAGAGAAATATATGAGGAACCATATCCATGTTCAAGGGTAATAGCTTCATCATTTTTCTTTAATAATAACATTGGTGAGTGAGAAAACTGTTTTGTTGGCAATCATGCTAGTGAACTATTTGGCCCCCCTCCCTCATCCCTAAAAAAACCCTGTCACAAGTTAATTTTGCTTTAGAAAAGATGTTAAAAGTTAAAGCAATCATTTTTTCATCTACACCGCTTACTGAAAAACATGTTTCCTTCAGAATGCGCAAAGAACAACAAAGAGAACAAGAAGAACGGGAACGCCGTGAACAGGAAGAGACAGAGAAGAGGAAGAGGCTGGACGCAGACAGAGAAAGGAAAGCGAAAGAAGAGTACCAGAGGAAGTTGGAAGAAGTGAAGAGGAAACAACACGAGGAAGAGTTGAGAAAGCATGGTAAGTTTAAACAAGTCAGATTTTGATCCCGTTTTTATTTTATTTTATTTTTTAATGTTTTACGTTCAGCGTGCAACGTATTTAAGTTTTATCTCTTTTTTCTTTACCTGTTGTTGCTTAATTAGTTTCTTATGTTTGATAAAATTCTGATATCACTTATTTGTAGGTTAATTGGCCAAGAGTGAAGATGATGAGTAATGTAAGGGGCAGTGTTTATTTTTGTTACTATTTCCTGTTGTTATCTTTACCTACCTGATAAACATGTGGAAAAAGTGGGGTTGTTTCTTTGTAAGAGATAGGATCATGGAAACCATTTCAAGTCAGACTCAAGACAGTGGGTGGTTGGCGGGTACTCTTGTGTAGTTTGCTCCTTCTTTCCAACTAAAAAAAATCTATCGTCTTTATCTCCCCTCCTTCATTTTTGTGTTTGTTACTCTCTGCTCTTGTAACACATTTATTCTTCGGCACTTATATGACCTTATTGTGTTGCAAGTGCCTTAAAACTCTTACTAAAACTAAAGACTCAAGACTGAATGGTATCTATTTTTGGTTCTGTGCATTGAAAATGTCCTGGATGTATAAGGCCTCATGTAAATATTGGTTACTGTTTATGTTCTCAGAACTGATGCTGCAACGACAGAGGGAAGAGGAAGAGAGGAGACTGGCAGAAGAGGAGATGCTCTCACAGATGGCAGAGCAAGAGCGTTTGGAATATGAGAGAAAGAAGAAAGAAGAAGAGGAGGAAAGAAAGAGAAAGGAACTGGAAGACAAGTAAGGGGACTTGAAAAGCAATCATATTTGGAGTGGAAGTAGTTCTATATAATAGATTGACCCTCTCCGCTGTGGCATATTTCATGTCTTATTCAGAGTGACTGGGTGTTGACCGGGTGTTTCACACCCGTTCGCTCTGATATAAGAGAAATATCGACATAAGTCTCAAACCTAGTCGGTGGGCAGATTACATTCGTAGACCCTAGATGAATAAAATTTTGTATTGTGGATGGTGAGTTGTATTTAGAATACTAACAAGCTTTCATTTAATGAAATTGGAGCGATTGCCCTTCAATTGTTTTGAGTAGAGGACTACGAGAAAAATGACTACTGACTCTGATCAGGAAATATGATAACCACCTGAACAGGTTTATGACTTGGACAAATACTTTTTCTTCTGATACTAGATCTAATGTTTCTTCAAAGCAAACTGTTAATGCTATGGACAATAACAAAGAAACTGTAACATGTGAATCGATTCTGAGAGCCTCAAGCTCCATCTAAAAACATCCTTCCCTTCTGAAATTCAACAAAACACAATACGGTAGCAATGCAACTTTGTCTAAAAATTTATTGCATATTTGAAAAATCCGCACTGTGCTTGATATGTGCGTGAAATGTGTTGAAATTTGATCCACAAATAAGCAAAACAGCCCTCCTCCATAAAAAAGTATGATCCCAAAAGAAGCACAAAGTATTTACTGTATAAAAATATGACCTAAAAAGTACTCCATGGATACAAAATATTGAAGCACAGGGAGGGTTAAAGCCAGGTTTTTGAATAGCTAGCTATTGGAGGAGAACAGCAACATTATGTAAAAGCGTCGAGAGTGACTACTTTTCCAATTATGAATTCCTCAACTCAAAATGATACACTCTTTACAAAATGCCATTCATTGATTGTTTCAGGGCCCGCCTTCTTTGTATGAAAAGAGATTGTGCACCTATAAATGTTCTCTAAAATAAAAAAGCAAACTAAAAAATCGGACATTTTTAGGGGTTTATTTCTCCTTATTATTCTCGCGAGCACACTGCTTGAAAATTATAGACTGTGTATACCACTCCTGTCATAAATAATTATTCATGTTTTCCCAGGCTCCGTCGTGCGGAGGAGGCGAGGAAGGCCATGGAAGAGGCCCAGCGGTTGGCAGAAGAGATGGCTCGCAAACAAGCAGAACTGGAAGCCAGACTCAAATTCAACCGTGCCCTGCAGGAGGAGGCAAATGGGCTTTCACACTCACAAGAAATCAATCGTGCCTTTGTTTACTCATACTTTGACCTGCTCAAGTGGTTGGGGCTTGACATTCCAGAATTTGAGCTGGCAAAATTGGCAGACTATTAATTGTCAGCATATCTTTTTTTTCTCTATGTAATTGTTATGACTTAAAATATACGACTTCAAAATGAATAATCTAAGGGAATACAATGATAGTCAAACTTTTTTATAATCAAATGGTAGAGAAATGTTTGTTTTTAGAGACAGCAAGCTCAGAGTTTATAAGCTAGTTAAAGGATTACTCTGAAATTGCTGTTGTGACCTTGAGCATTATGCTAAGTGTCCTGGTACATATGAACTAGCATCATAATACATAATCTATAACCAACATCTGAAGCATTTCTCAGAACATTCCAGATATTACCATGCTTTGAACTTTCGGCCAGTGAATTTGTTTAAGATGTTATGAATGATTGTTTTGTATTTTGTTTTTTCATTCTTGTGTCAATTGAGTGACTTTCATTTTTTAAAAGTGAAATATTGTTTGAAATAAACAGAAAGAAAAGCTATTTAAAGTCTATTATTGTGTACTTTGCTTGAGCTGTTGAAGGAAAAGACATGATAACTCTCCTGTTACTGTTTATTGATAAGCACAGGATCTGATTTAAAATGATAAACCATCAGCAGCAATAGTTCTAAGCTGATAATGAAAGAAATCTTGCTTCCTAGCATTGTTTTTGCCTTAATATGTAGCTTGAAAGTCAAAGGAAATATGAGTATGTTCTCGCAAAGTCTGTGATCAATTGTATATTAGAATGAATTTATGCTGGAGCTACCAACAGGGTACTATAGTTCTGTACATTTGTTCTGTGAAGAACAGATGATTTTTTGTTTTGTTTTTTAATCCAATTCTTTGTTACTACAAGTGGAGCTGTGATCTCCTCTATTTTCTGGATGTTCCCACTTTTTCATCACGTATGATGTTAATGTGATACTCTGATTGAGGAATACTGGAGAATTTTTTTAATGAATGTAAAACCAGATTTTGTCTGAAAAGTTCTGTGATAATTCTTTCGGTGATCCTTTTATCTTTGCATGATTCATGTGTCAAAATCTTTTTGTGCAGATTACCTTTTAGAGCTATGGTCATGGACATATATTTTGATATCGGTTTACTTAGTCTTGAGACATTCTAGATCTAAAATGTAATGCTTTTTTCCTACTGACTTAATCAACACTGCTTTTGTGAGATGCCATTAATTTTGCAAAGAGAAGGATTTGAGGAACAGTAGTCGTTCCTTCGCTGACCTTACTTCGGCTTTTGTCAAAAGAATTGTTCAGAATCTGATTAAACCCGTGTGAAGAATTTCTTCTTTTTCTATTCCTTGTTAGTTAAGTGGAAAATATCTGATGGGCACTTCAAGAGCATTTGCTTGAGTTTATTTTATTGTGCTTTTATTAACTTTTATCCTGTTTGAAGTTTTCAAAATGGAATTCAAATATGAGCAGAAATTGAAGGATACATGGAAAAAAATCATCCACTTGTTTTTTCCCCTCTTTTAACTGATCTAATAATTTTTATACCTTCTGAGGTGTTGATTTTGTTTCCATTTGCACTTTTTCGATAATAGAACAAAGAAGTTATCATTTTCAGCTTTTTATACTTAAAATAATTGCCATATTTTGCCCACCTTGAGATGAAAAGCACTTTGGAGTGTGTCATAACTTCTGCACAAAATCTGTGCCTGTGTGGTATTCAGCCCATCAACAATAGTTGCACATTCTATTCCAATTCTTCCCTTCAGGTAATGACTGAAAATAAAAAATAACAACCCCAAATCGTTAATTAAATTATGGTGCAAGTACCGTCTAGAATTGATAAACTTTTGGTCCTGTTTGGCTCTGTCTTGAATTACTTTTGTGAAATACATTAGTACCCAATCATTGCTTTTTGCTCTGCCAAATTTATTACCACTTATTTTTAAGTATTAAAGATTTCTTGACAAAATGATGTTTTTTGTGTTGTTTTTTTTTACATTGTTTTTCTCTAGTTTTTATATTTCGACCATACTCTTGCATTTCTGAGCTCGAATAGGCTTCAATTGATGGATACACTCTTTGCTCATACTTTCACACACATTCTCATAACATCTTACTCTCTCGATCATGCACCCTCTTTCATAAAAGGCATTCATTTTCCCAAGCACATTTTCATACTATCGAGCACACACCGTAACACTAAGATACGATAAGATAATAAATATTAATTGTTCAGATGCTGGCACTTTGGTTTGGTATTTCAGCACACACACACACACACACACACACACACACACACACACACACACACACACACACACACACACACACACACACACACACACACACACACACACGCAGCATGCTCACACGTACTCCTGAGCTCGTGTCCATATACACGCTCACTCTCACATATCCTCTCTACCACACACATCTATATACCTACACATTATATTATATTATAATAGTATTTGTTAAACTTTTGAAATATTGAACAGATTTTTCTTGGTGATGTCTGGACTGTGGATTTAAACGGAATTTTTTGCAAACTTGAATACTACCTCACAAAAAAATTCATAATAAATCTTCTAATTTGTTCAGGAAAAATTCAACAGATGAATTTGTAGATGTAATGTTTGTTAACATATGTGCAAAAACAATTTATTTCTATACAAAAATAAGTGCGGTATTCATTACGTAAGACATGTCAATAAAATCCATTTTGACCGCCGTAGCAATGGAAACAAAACTTTTTTCTCAAATTTGATAGCGGATTTTAAGAATCCGTAAAATTTGACCCGTTTATAAGCGAGATAGCCTTCACGTGTAGCCCCGCCCCTTAAATTGCAGGCAAAGGTCACCAACGTTTTTTTAAAGGTGGGACGGATAACTGAGAGAATGCCAAATGTGAGCCAACTATTTTGTTCTATACAATACACTGAATACATTAAAATAATGAAGGCCAACTTATTAATTATTAATATGTCAATGTACAACATGTAATACATGCAGAACAATATTTATAACCTACATGATAATATACTTATTATAATGATATAAGTCGTGGAATCATTGTGTGTGATCGACAGTTGGCGGTGGGAAATGTGTTAAATAAAAGAGATTTGACATTTCAGGAGCGTGATACATTAGCTTGACTTTTCGAGTCTACAGCAGCACGTAATTTACACTGTACAGTTACATAAAATAATTTATTTATTTTGGTGGCAAATTCTTGAGCACTCTACAAACAAATCTACTTGGTTATCACCCTCCTTTTTTCCAAACTTCTCCGTATGGAGGCATGTCATTGTCAGTGTGTACACCAAACTGACCTCGCGGGCCTTAGTGTGGTGATCCGTACGGTGGTCTAAAGAATAGGTTTTGAAGCCGTGTCATGGGCAGGCACTCTAGAAATACACAGAAATGCACATAACAGTGCTATTGAGATGCTATACCCTTATCAGGAGGCAGAAATACACTTAACAGTGCTTATTGAGATCTTGTTATAATCTTAGAAGCACCGCACCGGACGTTCTCTTTGTCAGAAGCTCTAGGAATGTCGCTTATTGTCGGAAGTGTTGTGGCGTTTCAAGGTATCCACCTCTACGTTAAAGCTCTGAAACATGGTGTTATTATGACCTTGAAGTACAGTTTCAAGATTAGCTCAGCACAATTTTGTTCGAGCTTTCTTGAGTGAAGAAATCTCCTGGGAAGCCATCGATTTTTTACGTTACCGACGCCTTGTTCGAATTTCACCCCCACACCATTAACGCTTCTTGAATATCAAATATATGCAAAATACCTATAATTATTCTTCAAGCAACGTCTGGTAAATTGATCATTACGGTGTCTTCCCTACGGATGATATAATCTGCTTAATTGTTAAATCCACTCTTCTGTAACAAGGTCTTTGTCACAGGAAAGCATTCCATCATGGGGATTGTGCCTACAGGTTTTAGTAGTCATCCTTCCTCGCCTTCTCAGCTTTCACCCTTGGAATACCACGGAGACCGGTGATCGTTTTGGTATATCAATTAATACATGTATTGTAAAATAACTGGAGTAGCCTGTTTTCGAATGTGTTTTATTTATCGCACGGTTATGCTGGGACAGAAATGCACAATATTTCCCTGTCGAGTACCACTTTTCAGATCGTACAAATTAATATAGTAGTAGTAGTAGATTTATATCGAGTAGTTCGATCCTATGAAAATTTATTTGATGGTAAGACGACATGATTTCAACGATGTGAGCCTTTATCGAGCATCATTCACCATATCTTTGAATTTAAAAAAGTTATTGCATCACATCCGAGTTACTTTAAAATGTTTGTATTTTTTTTGGGCGTATATTACAAGCCAGGCAAAATCAACAGAAGGCTGCAGAAACGAACAGCTAAAACATGACAAGAACACGAAATCAGCTTGTACAAGTACAAGGACCTGGCTTTCCATATTTGAGGGTAACTTTCACGCATCATCTGAATTTAAAAAAATATTCTACCGGTACCGCATTCAGAACGAAACCAATACGTGCTGAAGGATCGCGCTATACACTATAGGGTAATTAATCTGACATCATACTACATGTAGTAGCCTCACACTTCTAGGCGTTTATTACCTCTGTGGAAGAGACCTCTAGAAAAGAAACGACGCCATCTTTAAATAATAAAAATATACGATGAGTCGTTATCCTATGAACAATCTTCCTTTCAGCTAAAAAAAAAAATATCATAGTTAATGACCGAGTTGAGTATAATTCCAGTTTCATATTGTAGAATCTCTAATTTTAGCGACTAGAATTTAACGTTTTCAGAGTGATTTATATGGAACGAGAAAAATGGAGTCAGTACAAAATCACGCCAAGTTTGCGAGGTACCGGTACTGAGGTAAAGCATGTGGCATGTGGAGTGAAGTGTTCACTAAGCTTAGCCGTGAATGCCAGATGTATCGTTATTTAAGAGAAGTTAACGGTTGCGCAGGCAGAAAGGGGATAGGGATACGCAAAACAGTTCTTACACCTTTTTAAGACTGGTGAATGACTATAATATAAAATATATAGAGCGATCCAAAATACCTGTTTTTTTCGTTTTAGTAGAAGTTTTACGGCGCTCGCAACTGCATAAGGTCATAATAATATGAGCGCCAAGGGGTGGGTGTCAACAGAGAAGTCCTTACAGGGAATCAGACTTACTCTGCTCGCCCTTCTAGCTTCAACAGCACAGTCTGCTTCGACTATCAAGGCACCCCGGAAATAGCGGGTTACAAGAGCGTAACAAACATACAAAAGAAGTAGAGGAAAATGACGATAGTACGGATTAAGAAAGACACAGCAGCAGCTCCCTGTTGCAGTTCAGGCACAGTTATGAGCATGACATTGATGAATCAGCCCATTTACAATTACAAATACTGTGCCTAAGAACTCAAGATGTTAATGTCCCCCCTTTGGGAATGGCCTAGAGACATTTCAGTCAGTCTCAAAACACATGAGCGGTTAAGACAAAAACAATATGTCGAAAGTAATAACAGCATTTTTTGAAGAGTTTGGACACTTTAAAAAATTTCTGGTTTAAAAAGAAAACAAACCAATCAATATTTCCAGTGGTCTTTTGGGAGAAGGTGTGTGTGGCATAATAAGAAACGGGTTGGCAGGTCAAATTTTACTCATGGGCTAACACTTGAACACTTTTGCCGAAGGAATCCCCGTAATAACCAAAGGTGCCGGTATTCCATTTTTGTGGCATATTCTAGCATTCTATGTCAGGCAAGGGGTCCATTTCAAGGTCTTGCCATCCTATCTTTATAGGAGTAAGGAGCCTTTAAACTGCCACGAGAACTTGTTCCACTGCTTCTTTTACTTTTCAGGACGCTTAAAAAAGATACATTCTTTCTTTTCATAAAAAGAACTCTCTCAGACAAGCAAACTTTTCCAGACTACCAAAACTTCCAATCATCATTCTTAAGGGGGGTGGGGGTGGGGTGGGGAGGGCTACTTTATAGACCTATCTCGGTAACTATGACCTTTCAGATAAAGCCTTATAACAAGGAGGTATAACAGGAAAACATCTCTCATATAAAATGTAACTTTAATTTCTTTGATAAAATCTACGGTTACCATGGTAAAGTCGGCCGTATTGAAAATAAACAACTTTCATACAAGTAAAAAGGATTTTTTTAAATTTATACATTTTGTACATTGATAAATATATTCAATGCAAAATTTTGTTCAGTTTGGCTCTTTGATATCTTGAATAGAAAAAAAGTTAGAGATGGATAACTGACCTACCCGATTCATGCCTCAGAATTCGATTACATAATCATCCATGCTACTCATTAATGAATCCCCCGATTTGCTTTTCCGCCTCTAAAAAGTTAGGTTATGGTGAGAATAACAAGCCCGGAAAATATCATTGGAATCAAATTTTAAAAAATAGTAAATGGGAAAAACTATCAAAAATTGAAGTTTTGAGAAAAAACGCACACCGATATTTTGTTACATAATAGGTAAAATAAAAGTTCAAGGACAGAAAATCTGAAAGATATTAAATGCAACATAAAGAGTAATCATTTTTTAGATTTACAAGTTTAGTGGTTGAAGTACAGGGTGATATAGAAAAAAACAACAAAAAACAACAACAACAACCACTGTACAACTTTTTTTTCTAAATATTTCGCACAAAATTTGTACTAGAATGTTGTAATTTGGAGCAGATATAATTCATTCAAAAAGAATTTGTTTGACATAAAATTCACAAAGAAGAAATTTATGTTTGGAAACGGAAATGGCTTTTATAAAAACCACTTATAAATGCAAAATGCACTAATTTAAACGATTTTGTAAGGAAAATCATGAAATGATTGGTTTGTTTTTTCCTTTCCTTTCAAAAATTTAATCTTTCCATCCCTGTATCCTTTAAACAATTTTTTTTCCTATTGAGCTAAAAATATGTTTTAAAATTCAGACTTCCGA